CCAACAGCAGCTCAAAGAGAATGAAGCTGTGAATTTAAATTCCTTGAATCTGTACATAAATACTTAGGTACATTACAAAGTAATTTTCTTAATTATACTAGCTTTTTTGAAACTTAACTTCAATTACAAATTCGTTGGTAATAATTTTGGCTACTATGATTGAATTTTTTTCTATATACGTGAATTTTCACGTGTAAGCTTACTAGTTCCCTTAGGGCTTGTTTGGATTACCGTTTCTGTCTCAGATACACCTGTAAAAAATACAGGTCGCTGCTCGTCGTTTCATTTCCGGGTGGAGATCTGCTCATGGCCGGTAAAATACACGTGTAGAATAAATACACCTGTATCAGAATACACCGCATCCAAGCGCGGCCTTAAAGTAGCAACGCCCGAGTATCCTCACGGTGCATGTGGAAAATAGACGAGATACTCCAAATTACGCCCGTGTAGGGTCTCACAGCCCCACGTTACTCCCAATACTCCTTCCCCCCCAGTCTGCCATTTCTGTTTTCTCCCTAGCCGGCCTCCATCGCCAATCCCGGGAAGACTCCTTCCGGTCCGGCCGTCCTTGCCGCCGGACCCCGCCTCCAAGAATCCCTCCCGCCGATCTAATCTGTCGGGTTTCGCCATGGCACTACCGATCCCGTTCCCCAGTCCGCCGCCGGCCACCACGAAACGACGCGGCACTGTGCCCAGGGTCAGCACGTGCTGCTTCAACGACCCAGAGATGAAGCGGCGGCGGCGGGTGGCGGGGTACAAGGCGTACGCGGTGAAGGGGAAGGTGAAGGCCTCGCTCCGCCGGGGGCTCCGGTGGTTCAAGCGCAAGTGCTCCGGCATCTTCCATTTCTGACGTCCCCGTCGTCGCGCGGCTCGATTTTCGGAAGGTAAACGCCGTTCTATTCTTGGATCGTGTATGATTGATTGCGCACAATCGATCCATGCATTCAAAGAAAGGGAAAGAGAAAAGATCCAGAGGTTGCAGATTACATCCGTAATCCTCCGTGAGGCTAGCAGACTGCATTCTGCAAATTGCCATGTTGCTCTTGAACGATCATAAATGTCAGGACCGGGGTTGTTAATCCACATGTTTCTTTATTCTATATTCATAAGTGGATTTGGGTTCGGATGCAACTTGCAAGTGTTTTGATCAATGTTATGATCCGTTTGTTTTGTACTATATCATGTTCGCATGCATGCATGTTTTCATAAATATCTTTTTTTTTTAAAGAACGATCACACCTCGTCGATTTTCATTAAAGAAACTACCAATGTTTTACAAAGAACCACAGAAAAAGGAACTCGCTAAAACCAGGATCCGCCCATGTGCTCTGTTCATGATATCCAGCATCGTCCTTTCGATCTTCGCGACTCCCTCATCCATGCTTCCGCTACCTTGGTTTCTCTTTGGTGAGATAATGACGGAAACTGAAGATAATTGCTACAGGATCATCTGGCATTTTCTTAACCAATCACCAGACCGAGTATCTGTTCTTGATGAAAGCAGTTTGGGAATCACAGACAACTTAACCAATCACAAGACCGAGTATGTTTGCTAATATTTTTGTAATAATCTTATAGCACACATTTAGCAGACAAAATGGTCTGAATTTCTGAATGACATTTGCATCTGGAACCTTGGGAATCAGGGCAATAATGCCATGATTCAATCTCTCAAGGCCCAAGTTGCCAGAATGGAAATCATTGATAAGATCCAGCAGGTTGAACTTGATCTTTCAAAATTCATGAAAAAAACAATTGGAAGAACATCAGGGAAAACTGCATTATTATGCTTCTTTCCAAAGATAGCCACAAAAATGTCATCCAAAGACAATTTCTTAGTCAGCATCTTCCTGCCACCCTCATTGAACTGAGAACACTCAATACCATCAAGTCTAATGGAGGTGATCTCAGCGGGGCCAAATATTTTTTTGTAAAGTTATGTGTTCAATAAGATCAGTCTCTTACTCTAATTCAACCTCATCAGCAAAAGGAGAGGAAATGTAGTTTTTCGTCTTACTTCCACTGGCTTTCAGATGAAAAATGTCTTGTATTACCATCACCTTCTTTAAAATATTTTTCTGTAGATCTACATGTTATGGCGTCAGTGATGGGTTTGTCTTTGGATGCTGGGACGGCAGCCCCGGTCGATGGGCTACCCGATTGTCTCTCGAGCAAACTCCATTGTGGTGGTGGTTCCTTCAACACTTGATCATGAGGGTGGCGAGGGGAGTAGCGGCAGGGGCTTTGACCTTCTCTCTTCCAGCAGAAATGGCGATGCCCTGGTTTGGACGAGCTGGTCTTTGTCGCAATGGTGATCTAGGTGTCTCATGGTGGTGTTGGTGAGTTCCCGAGCGAAAGCTTCGCGCTTTGGCACTAGCGCCGGCGCCCATGGGTGCCACTATCCTTATGAGGACGTTGTCGTGGATCTCTTCCCCGTACCAGGCCTCCGGGAGAAAATCCATCTCTATGGATTCTGCAGCGGGACGCTTGACACTGTCACCCTCCTGGAGGCATTGTCATGGAGCTCAAGCGTCGTCCATCGGGCCACGACAATGTATTATCGATCCATGTTTCATATTGTAACTTCAGATTTGCTTTGTTTTTCAAGGGGAATATATTAATATCATGGAGATACCAATTACACCCAGTTTCTGCACCAATAAGAAGTCACCGAGACATCCAGGATGAACACAACCCAAAAAGAAAACAAAAAAGAAAGGGAAAAAATGGCCTCACCAAAGTGATCAACTCATCTCAGCATCATCACACAACCACCACCAAGGACAACACCCGAAAATATAAAATGCCTCCAAAAGCGACGTCTTCAAGAAGGAAACAATGCACAAGCATCGTCGTCGCCCTATCCAAGATCATAGGTTTTCACCCTGGAGAAAGACCGAACTCTCAAAACAATACTTTCAACAAGGCAATTGTGAAGCACAACCAATGAGGCCAGACCTTAGGTTTTCACACTAAAAGTCACGACTCGGCACCCAAGGAGCACCACCAAAAATGAAATCCTCATGTATTGCCGCCCCCACTTGACACTGTTGCTACTGAAAGTTATCAAACACCTGGCTAACTCCATCGCCTTCAAGGCCCACTCCGCGTTACTGATCCTCTGATCTTAGCCATCAAGAGTTTCTCCGCCCTGCTTGTGCCATGGAAATCGATATGCATGCATGTCCCATGGTGTCAACAAATAACAGAGCTTTGCGCTGAGCCCTCCTGGAGCCATGTAGGTTGATATGGACGCGCACGACCGGATACTATTCGATCTAGATATCCTTGGGCAAGATCTTTGGCAGTAGTTCTGGAACACGTCGATGGCCAGATCGAGGAGGACCGATCATGCAGATCATTGACGTGATGCGATATGAGAGCACAAGGACCGCCACCACACCGCTGCCTCCGCCACGCCAACACCATCGCCCCACGACGGAGAACACCGGCCCTCGCTGTCCACAACCCGTGACTCCAAGCGCCAAATCTGACGGAACTGGCACCAGTCGCCCCGCCACCTTCGCCACACAGCCACCATCGTGTCCACACACCGCGGCGCCTAAGGCCCGGTTGTTCGAGATGCCGCTGCAACGCCCTGCGACAGCGTCGCGCTACCTGCCCGCTTGCCAAGTCCCACGCCATAGCCACCAGTGGAGGAGGGATGAGGGGCCCTGCCTCCGCCGACTCCAGCCGAGCTTCGCCCAGCGACACCCTTTTTCAGTGGCGTGGAAAGGGGGGCGGGGAGGACAAGCAGGCGGTGGTTGCTAGGGTTTCGCCCAGCCGCACGCGAGAGCGACTAGGGTGATCTGTTTCCCGTACGTACGTCTCACACGGCGACTTCGATGCGTTGTCTGTTACGAATAGGAAAGGAGGGTCTTCTCACAATCTTGTGTCTTTCGATCGTGTACTTTGGTTTATTGTATTTTATCTATATAAAACGGGACTAGAACCTGTTTGAAAGAGAGCAAATCTACCACAGAACCAGTCAACCCACTCGTGAAGATAGGAAGAAATATACTTTTATTCCTTATGGCTTGGTCTTTTTTCGGTGGCCTTTGTCCTTGTTTTCCAAAAGAAAACAAAAAGTTATTGAAAAAGGACCACATAACCCCCTGAACTGTCAGGAAAATCGGCCACTTAAATCCCTCAACTACAAAACCAAGTATTTAACCCCTTCATGTTTCTAAAACAGACACATAACCCCCTCACCCTGCTATAAGCAGTTTCAACACGTGGTTTTGCCAACATGGCATAAGTCAACGGTAGGGGAATGCTGAGGTGGACATAGGGCCAAGGTTCAGACTCAAAAATATCTAAAATTTCTCGCTATTAGGCCTCTCCCAATGCTTCACCTTGTACAGGTGCTAAGATTGTCAACTAAGTAAAAAATATATGATGTGGCATGCTAGTTAAGAAGAGAGAGAGAGAGAGTAGTATGGTGACCCCAGGAAGAAATGGTGCTAAGCACGTGTACCTAGGTGGAAGCACAGTTCTGAGTCTACAACAAATTAAATGCATGATGCTTAGCACCCAAAAGCTTAGCACCTTTGCATTGTGGACTTGAGTTGCTAAGGCATTTAATATGCTTAGCACCTCATCTAAGCACCTTTGCATTTCTGTGTAAGTCGGTGGTGGCGGAGCGCGGGCCACCGCAGGTGGGAAGGCATAATTTTTCTTTGACTATTATAAATTGCCACGTAAGCACCACCTATAGAAACCACCTAAATTAGACTTAGGGGGGGATTTGTCTGAGTTTTGGAAACATGAGGGGGTTAAACGCCTGGTTTTGTAGTTCAGGGGGTTAAGCAGTCGATTCGTGAAACTTTGGGGTTATGTGGACCTTTTTCACAAGTTATTCTTCTCTCTCGCGGTCAACAGTCAAACCCCTCTTCCCTCGTTGGTCTTCTCCGTCGCGGCATAAAAATGGCCAAGAAGTGCCGGAAGCGCCGGCCCAGCTCCTCTTCCTCACTTCATCTCGACCCCGTCAGGCGGCAGCAATGGCGGAAGAGGGGAACAGCTCGGGCGGGCGCGGCGTCCGGGTGTGCGTCACCGGTGGCGCCGGGTTCATCGGCTCATGGCTCGTCAGAAAGCTGCTCGAGGCAGGGTACACCGTCCACGCCACCCTGCGGAGCATCAGTAAGCGCGCTCGATTAATTAGCTCTGCCATAGCGTTGGTGATGTGATTTCTAGCTGCGATTCGTCGACTCTGGCGCCGCCGGGCTGATCCGATCTGGTTTTTGTGGCAGGGGACGAGGGGAAAGCGGGGCTGCTGCGGCGGCTCGTCCCCGGCGCCGCGCCGCCGGAGCGGCTGGTGCTGTTCGAGGCCGACCTCTACGACGCCGCCAGCTTCGCGCCGGCCATCGCCGGCTGCCAGTTCGTCTTCCTCGTCGCCACCCTCTTCGCGCACGAGGCCGCCGCATCCAAGGTCAGTCAAACTGAAACTCAAACTCAAACTCGAATCCCGCAATTCGATTTGCTATTTGTGGCCGTAGGCTTGTAGCGCGGATAGATTCGATCGACTGCAGTATTCATTCAATAACCGGCCGCTGATCACCAGCTGAATCATCCTTGAATTGTTCTATGCATATAAAGCGCGGCGAAAGCCTGTTTCGTGAGGATACGGCTGTGTACAAATACAGTCTCAGAATTCAGAGTCCAGCTAGCCGATGTTGATCAGGTCATTTTACTACCATTCTGACTGGCAGTACAAGACGTCGGCGGAAGCCGCCGTGGACGCGGTGCGCGTCATCCTCCGGCTATGCGCGGAATCTAAGACGGTGAAGCGCGTCATCCACACTGCATCGGTGTCGGCCGCTTCGCCGCTGACAAAGTCCTCCACCGCCGCCTCTGCGGTGTACAGGGATTTCATCTCTGAATCTTGTTGGACTGCTCTGGACGTCGATTACCCTCTCCGTAACACGCACTTCGATGTAAGTAGTAGTGATATTGTCCTTCAAACTAGCATGGGTTCATGATCTGTACGTCAGATGCAAAATGCCAATCTTAGCACCGACAGAAGAACAAATTCATAGCAACGTCATCATGGTGACATTGTTGGGTCCTCATCTGCAGAAGTACATAGAGTCAAAGGTCCTGTCAGAGAAGGAGCTCCTCAGGTACAACGATGGCGAGAGCCCGGCGTTTGAGGTGGTCACAATTCCCTTGGGCCTCGTCGCGGGGGACACAATCCTCAGCCGCCTCCCGGAAACAATTCAGAGTGCGGTGGCACCGGTGACCAAGCAAGAGCCCTACTTCATGCTACCGAGGATTGCACAGAGGCTGTTGGGCTCAGTGTCACTAGTGCACGTCGACGATGCCTGCGCCGCGCTTGTCTTCTGCATGGAGCAGCCATCCATCGCTGGCCGGTTCCTCTGCTCCGCCGCCTACCCGACAATCCATGACATCCTGGACCACTACGGCAGCAAGTACCCCCATCTAGATCTCCTCAGAGAGTAAGCCCTGAATTCTTCCCCTGCAAAAAATCAAAGATAAAAATGTCTTATAAAAAGTTACAGAGGGGGTATATTTTTTATCGATCTCTGGATCCATTGATTCATCGCGAACTTCTCCTGATATTCGATGACATCAGTGATGATGTGTTGTGTTGCTGCAATCGACTGACTAGCTGAATTGGTGCCAGGGCTGATGAGGTAGCGAGGGTGCAACCTGAGAGCAACAAGCTTGGGGAGCTGGGCTTCAGGTACAAGTATGGGGTGGAGGAGATTCTAGACGAAAGCATCGAGTGTGCTGTGAGGCTGGGCTCCCTGGATACATCCAAGCTTATCGTGCAGCAGGAGTGATGAACGCAATGGTGTGCAGGGCAAGTGATCATAGTATGTTCTTTACTTGTTCATCATTTTACAGTAACACATGTACCAAAAGAAGTAAAACGACACATAAATAATAGCATGTACCAAAAGACACACAAAGGAAGTAAAACGACATTTTATAGTATGTTCTTTAGTTTGTTCTTCGACTTCTGCTCTGGAAATCGGTATCATCGCTGAAATCTTAGGATTTTTCTTGTAATCTAATGCACGAGTTAAACACACAAAGGAAAAATTCTTTATCATGGCAAAAAACTAGCATTAACCAACACATTTACCAAAAACCATGCTCATCTTCAACTTGTTTGTACCCGAAAAACGGAAAGCCCTGTGTAAAAAAAACAGGAAAGAGAGGCCCATGCAATACTCCCTACTCAGGACCAAAGTACCAAGGTCCTTTCTTCAGTCACAGGGAGTAGTACTGAAGTAACAAGCATACACAAAATTGTGTTAACTAATAACAGGCATTACTTTAGGAGTTACGGCTTTTGGAGGAGCAGATCCAAAATAAAATTTCTACAACTAAAAATGCAATGGGTAATTTTTAAGGAAATGATGAAGTGCATTCCTGTCAGACAAAAGAATTCCTTCACTCAAAGAGCATCACCAAGACTGAACAACGCCATCCATAGTAATAATAATAGCATAATAGACACATACTCCATAGATCAGAACATTGGCACTCTGAAAGCAAATTTGGGAAAAAGGAAGGAACACTACAGAAGTCATTATAATAGCATGCTAGATAGATACTCCATAGTTGAGAACATTAGCCTGATATGATTCCAGACATTTGACGGGAGGCGCAAGCTCAGACGCAGTGCGGGCAGCTTGGGCGACGGTCGGACGCCTTTGAAGTGGCCAGTGGAGGCGGTGACATTGTGATGGTGCGGTTCTTACGGTGGCGGCTTGGCCGGTTGCCTCCCAGCAGGCTCAGGCATGGGGCGCTCTCGTCCCACGGGTATGTTACGATGTGCGTCTGTTGGTTTAAGCGGCGACCATCAGCGATGAGGCGGTGGCTGCGGAGCACGTCTTTAGAGCATCTCCACTCGCGCCCCCAACATGCCCTCCAGGGCCTTTTTTTTAGCGTCGGCGCCGAAAAATCAGCCCAGTCGCGCTCTCATGGGCTTGTTTACCGCCGGTTTGGGCCAAAATAACAGGCAGCGAGCCCGAGCCAAACCCAAACCCTTGGAGGGCGTCCGGGGGCGCCGGCCGAGGCGAAAAGGCGCGTGGGTCCGCTCTATCAGCGAGAAACGACCCTTTTTCCTGCCGATCCCCCGCTTCCTCCCCCCTTTCCCTCCATTCTTCCCTTGTGGCCCTCTTCTCATGCCATTCTCTTCCATCTCCCCTCCATCCGGCCGCCATGCCGCCGAAGAAGTATACGGCCCCTCGCGCCGGTGCCGGTGCCGGCGCCATCCAGTCGAAGCAGAGGAAGCCGAGGGCGCCGCCGGCAAAACCATCGGACATGTCGAACGCCGACTGGAAGGCAGAGGTTCAGCGCTGGGAGGCTGTCACCACCGACCGGCGGAACGGGTTCAATGCCAAGAGGGTCCGGGACGTGGCCGCTGAGCAGGCAGAGGCGGCTCGCGCGACGGAGCAGGCAGAGGCGTCTTGCGCGGGGATGATGAATCCACCCGGCGGCCACGGCCCGCAAGCCTGGAGCAAGTAGAGCGTCGGGTCATCGGCCGGCTTCTCGCCGTCGCCACAACCCTGGGGTGCGCGCCCTCGCTGGCTACGCCGATAGCGGCGCGCACGGTGGGTTCAACCCCAACATCACTTTTCCGCAAGGCCACCCCGCCCAGCGCACGCCCTCACCCGCGTTACCCCCCGTACACCTACTCGCCGCCAGCTTACACTGCCTCCCCGATGCCGCCGCTTCGCCGTGTCGCCCTGCACTTCTCGCAATCCTCATCATCGCATTTCGGCAACCCCGATGCGACGAAAGCCGACGTGTACGACATTATCACGAGCGGCTTGGCCGCGGCCGCCGCCTCCCTCGGGTTTGATGCGCAAGACGATAAAATGGACCCACGCCGACCCCAACACCGCCACCAAGCCCGAGCGATGATGCCTCCACGACGCCCAGCACAGAAGCTGCGCCGACGCCGACCAGCCCGCGCACGCCGACTCCCGCCAGTCCGACGTCCGAGGACAACGCCGCTCGTTTGATGCATTGCCTACGCATCCTTCCTTTTGAGCGCCGAACTTTCGAGTGATTGATCGCCGAACTGTGGCATGGTGATCGTCGAACTATGTGGTAGCCGCTGATCACCGTACTTGTGGCGTTTTTTTGGCTAGCGGGAAATATCAAGTTTGAATTTATAACGTCTTCGGGCCGACACCTAGGGGCGTGGCTGGAAACTAGATCGCCCCTAGGGCCGAAAAAGCGCCGGCCAAAGGGCCAAAAT